GGGGAGACAGACCTCTATGATCAGTACATTTTCACTCCTGGGGGCTTGGTGAATCGCTTCCAGAAGTGGATGCAGCGTATGATACACATCTACCCTTGTGCTTTCTATGGGCGTGGCTTCACGGAGAACTCCTGGGGCCTACTGCCCTATGCCCGGCCTGTAACCGCCGTTGGTGAGTGAGCCCGTCCCCTAGGAGCCATCTCTAGGATATGGGATCCAGTTCTGGGGCTGGACCTTGGCTCCAGCCATGTCCAGAGGCAGAGAGGTGGACTAGGATGAGGGGCATGGTGGGGATAAGGGCGGGGAGACCCTGGGCTTGAGGGTCGAGGCCCATTCGGAGGAGTGAGCTATTCTGATGCTTTCCCCCTCTCCTTCTGTTTCCCCGGGCAGTCAGGAAGCCACTACCACTGCCTAAGATTGAGAACCCGAGCCAGGAGACGGTGGCTAGGTACCACGCACTCTATATCGACGCCCTGTGCAAACTCTATGACCAGCATAAGACCAAGTATGGCATCTCAGAGACCCAAGAACTGGTGATCACTTGACAGACATCACCAGCAGCTTCTCGGCCTGGCCGGAAGGTGTAGAACCTGTGAAACAGGAGGACTAGTGTCACATGTGGGCCTCCTGCTCCTGATTTGGCAAGTCCTCAATATGAGGCTGTCCTCCAGGCCCCTCTTCTTCCTTCATCTCTCACTGCCTTCCAGCTCTTCTCTGCCTTTACCTTGGGGCTACAGGGGAAACAGCCCCAAAAGGCAGGGAAAGCCCTAGGTGAGAGGTATCCTGAAGTCTCCCTCAGGAAATAAAGAAAATAATATAGCTCCTCTTCTGATACTGCTTGTGGTCCAACTCTTTGCTTTTAAGGGCCTAGGATCCCTGTTCATGGCTTTGCTTCTTTCAAGCAGCCCCATCTCCTGGCATCGAGGCTCCTGTGGAACTGGATGCCTTGAGAGACAGTGCGCTTGGGAGTTCAGGCTCCACCGCCTTCAAGCCATGTGACATGGGACAGTCTGTCATCTCTGAGCCTGAGCTTCCTCACCTGTAACACGGGACCCAGAATCCCTCCCCTGATTACCTCAGAGGCTACTGGGAAGGCCAGTGATACTGAATGTGATTGACCTTTGTACATTGGACAGCTACCCCAAATTCTCCTCCTCCAATCACTTTGCCCACTTCCTATCCTTGAGCAGACTCTGTCCTCAATTTCACGGCATCTCTATGTTTAAAAGAAAGTGTACGGTGTAAGATCTTGTCAGCAGCTCTTTGAACGTTGAAGTAGCCTTTCTATAGTTGGGTGACCTTGGGTGAGCCGCTTAAACTTCCCGAGCATTGGTCTCCTCATCCGCAAAATGGGATGAGACATCATGGGGAGCTGGAGGCTGCATCTTCCCAAGCTGTTAGGGGCTCAGGCCTGAAACGTCTGTTATGGATTCTGCAGTGTCAGGCTGAGGGAACCTCCATGCTGTGTCTCTGGCTCGGGACAGCAATTCTTTCCTGCAGGCCCTCTAGCTTACTGGACAGGCAGTGACAGGAAAAGACCTAAGGTGACAGGGATGGGGGCGTGTGTGGTCTGGGGCACAGACAGGATGTGGGAGGTTCTGACAGGAACTTCAGACCTCCTTCCTTTGGTTGCCCCCTCTGAGATGGGTGCCTTGGCCCTTCCCCTAGCTCACGTGTGGCCACACTTGCCAAGAAGCACCTGGCACGTAGGAAGTGCTTAAGTCGATTTCGAGAATAGGGGGGAGGAAAAAAAGCTTTATTTGCAAAGAACGAACCATTAATTTACACAAACTTACATCCCAGTTTATATACATTATATATAGTTTATATACATAGTATCTCACACTGGATGCCGACCCCCCAAAGCAGCACGGGGCCTGCTCCAGGCCATTCTCACCACAAAGCCACCCCCCCCCACCCCAGGTGAAAGTTTTTTGAATCAAGAAATGCCACATCCCGAGTCCCCTTGGAGAGAGCCCCGACAGGAGTTAAAAGAAACAATCTGCTTCCTTCTTTGTGCTCACTGCGGCCTAGGGGAGCCTCTCTGTGGGCAGGGAGGGAGGCTGAGGCAGTGCTGGGTAGCCTCGGGACTTCCTGGTATCGGGCCAGCCCCCAGAGACTTCCAGTCCAGAGACCGGGGCAGGGAGAATGCCTCGGGGCGGGAGAGAGTTCTGATGGCTGCAGCAACTCTTTCCCCTGCCTGGCGGGGCTCCTGAAGGGGGCCAAGCACTTCCAGCCTTGAGTTTGGGGGTAGAAGAAAGGAGGGGTCTGTGCGGGACAGAGACCGCTCCACCCCCTCACTCCTTTGAGTCTGCAGGTCAGGGCTCGTTCACCTTGGCCAGGTCACCTTCCATCTCTGGGCCTCTGGGTCTTGCTCTGAAGGTCCCTGACTCTATTTGCATCCACCGGAAGTTACATAAAACATACGTACTTGCCCGGGGATCCAAGTCTCCGTTTGCCTCCAGGGTTCCTAGCCCTTTCTTGCTTAGGCAAAAGGAATTTGGCTCAGGATGGATGAGTGGGGACAGAAGGCAAAGATGACATTTCCCAAGGAACCAGGAGCTGAGCAGCCCCCAACAAATGCCTTGTACGCTGGCCTCGGCTGTTGAAGCCCAAGCAGCTGGCCAAGGCCCCTGCCATGCCACTCTCCTTCAAACCTCTGCCATCTGCTTGCTCACAGATGTCCTCATCTCATTCTCCACGCTAGCCCCGGCCCTCTGGTGAACTCACGGCAGCGCCATTCCAGACCGTGTATCTATTCCCACATCCTCTCGCTAGTAAATTGCTTCACCCCAGCTGTCTGTTGCTTCCTTCCTCGCCTCCTTCCCTCTAGCTCCTTTTGAGGGGTCACAATGAATACAGGGTCCTCTGTGAAACCTAGCCCCCCCATAATCCCCTCCATAGCTGGACCTCAGGATGGGTGTCAGAATGTCCTTTAGGCCTCTCTCTTGGGCCTTTCCTCCATCAGGAGACATCCTGGCAGAACAAGGCTCTCCGTGGGATGGTAGAAAGAGCCAAGGGGTCACTTAGTAGCTGTGGGAAGTGGACCAGCTCCCGTGATCTGTCTGTAGGGTAACCGGCGGAGGCTCTTGCCCGCAGCAGGGGCTCCGTACACGACGGGGGGGTGGGGTGGGAGAGCATAAGGGGTACAGTTCTGTGGGTACTGGAGGCCTGCTGCTTAGACGTGGTGCCAAGACAATTCTGACCACAGGAGCTGTTTCCCAAAGAAATGCCCTACTCTTTTTGCCACAAAGCCCCCAGCAGCCAAAAGAACATCAAGGAATTACCATCAAGGAACAAAAACGCATGTGTCTGGGTTTCTCTCCGGGATGCTGAAGGGTTTGGGGTCCTTATTCCTATTTTTATTGGTTCTCTCTAGACCGCACATTCAACACAATGCTGCAGCATAATGGAATGGCTTCGGAGGCAGACCTGGCCAAAGCCCCAGGCCTGTGGCTTAAACTGGTTGGGATCCTGGGCAAAGCACTTCACCTCTCAGAGCCTTGTCTACACAATGGGGTTCATAGCATCCTCAAAGGAGATAATGAGAGAGAAAGTACCTTCCAAACCTGAAGGAGAGGATCCCTTCAGTTCTCGCTACAACCGAGGACTATCTAAGGCACTTTCCAGAAGCCTGGGCCAGACACATGCCTCAAGTTCACCCCACCTGGGGTCGCAAGGCTGTCATCAGCAGCCAGATGATGGCGGCATAACCCACCCCTGTTGGCCCAAAACCCACCAAGGGCCGAGCATTACAGTTGTTTGGAAAGGGAAGGTACAGTGGAGAAATGAATACCTGTTCTTGGTGGATTTCAGCTGCCCGAGGGGACTTAAACCATCTCCTCCAAAGGAAACTCACTTCGGGAGTGACAGTAGCACACTGTACAACGTTGGCCTTCCCCAGCTTTGGGCTGGACCCAGCATCCAGAAACCAGGCTGGCCCCTGGCAGTGAGAGATAAGGCCCTTGAATGGTCCCACTATATGATCCAGTGGGGAACTTGGGGTCGGGGGGGGTGTGGTGGGTAAGGTGTTTTTGGACCTGGCTACAGGGCAGAGCCTGGCCCGACGCCTAGCTGCTGGCTTCTCTTGAGCCTGGATTCAGGCAATCAGCACTGGGATCTCTGGTGACTCCGCTATGGCTTTCTGAAGCGAGAGTGAAGAAAGGTGGGTCAGTAGGGCATCGGCTGCTGTCCTTTTGGATAGGGCCTAGGCTAATGACCCCTTGGGTCACAGCAAACTTGAGGAAAAAAACCCCCCGCCCTATCCCACTTCTTGCCCTTTTGGGGTCAGGCAGAAAAGTTCTGCCTTGCTAATGCCCCGGGGGCAGGCTGGGGTTTGGGAATTTTCGTAGGCTATCGTGGAAGCTGCCTAAATATTCGAATTTGAAGGGACTCCTGGAGGTCATCCAGTCCAACCCTTTGCCCCCAGACACAACTCGACTAGATGAATATTTGTGTTGCTTAATAAATGGAAAAATCTCTTTGCGCCCAGGTCATCGAAAGAGTATCCCAGACTCACATAAGCACAGGTCCCAGGTAAGGCACCTGTCTTAGACAGAGGTAGGCTCTGTGGCGAAAGAAGACAGGAGTTCTGGTCAGGCTGGGAAAGGGGGCAACTGGAAGGGAACCCAGAGATTTTTCTGAGCGTGGAACATGGCTGTAAACAAAGTGAAAGGCACGTGGCCCCAAGTATGCCTTCAGGTTCTTGGGCAGGCGGAGGCGTGGCCATTCCCTGCCACTGCTCCAAGAAGGGCAAACCTCCTGTCCCCCAAAGCCCAGCAAGCTGCCGCGAGTTGGCTCTCAGCCCCAGGGGGAAGAGCACCCCCTGGCCCCGACCCTCCGGCAGGCTGCAGCGCAGGGCAGCAAGAAGCCTTCCACTACTGAGGATGCCTGCTTGGCAGGTTTCTCCCTGGGTCTCTGCCACCAGCACCCGCCTTTCCCCTCCCCACCCCTCTGCGTAGGCTTCACCACTCCCCTCCCGCCCCACCCTTGCCCCCCAGCTCTACCCAAGAGAGGAACGGCAGCCCCTAAGGGTGAGAGGCTTGCCCCCACGGTCTGGAGTCCACCTTTGCTTTCTCTTGCCTGCTGCCCCGGAAACCCCATGTTAGTGCAAGAAACAATCACTCTGACAACAGGGACCTTGAGGTTGAAGCGTTGAGCCATAAGCCAGTTGACACACGGAACCAAGGAAGAAGGTCCTCCTTCCTGCAAACTCTGGGGCTCCATCAAACATCCTGTGAACTCAAGGTCATTCTGGAAAGCCAAGCGGGCCTCATCATCCTGATGAATAAATAGCCCCGTGATATTGATCTCTGTGGCTGCGACACCCATAGCACCTCACTCCACAGCAGCACTGAGAGGTTCTGGGAGTCCCGGCTCCCAACCCTGGGGCAGGGGCGCGGGCAGGGACAGAAAAGGGGCAGGGGGAGGGAATCTAGGACGCAGGGGCCTCGCCCAGCCTGATGGCCCCAAAGAAGGTGGTGTGCTTGCTCATATTGATAGAGATGTCGGCATGCACCATCTTCACGGCAATCTTCTGCCGGGCTTTGAGCAGGCAGACCCCCGCGGTGTAGCACGTGTTGTAGTTGGTCTTGCCCGTCTCGATGCTGCGGGTACACTGCAGGAAGGGCTTCTCGTCCACCACCACCTCGTAGCTGGCAAAGTCGGTGAAGTTGATGTAATAGACCTGGGGTGAGAGGCAACAAGAAGGGATTGGGGGAGAGAGGAAGGGGAGGGTGGGGCCCTTCCCTGCGATGGACAGACAGGACCTTCTCAGACGAGCTGCCTGCACACCTTGTGAAGGGGGGCAGTGCCACCTGAGGGCGTGTGAGTTGGTCAACAGGAAAGGCAAGATGATGGGCTGATCCGCTGCGCTTCCCCCACTCCGTGGGGCTCAGGGGGCTGAGCAAATCTCTTTCCAATAGCACGCCGGTTGTCAGCTCTGTGAGGGCAGGAACCAGGCCTTTCTCCCTCCGGTAGCTCTCCCAGCCCCTCCCCTGCCTTCCGCCCTGCTCGGCCCAGCCCTGGCAAGAGGCACGGTGCTCTCTGCACACAGTAGGGGCTCAGTCAGTGCTACAGACAAATGGATACAAATTGACTTCCCGTGCCGTGCCCCAAGGACTATCTGTGGCTGACCTTGGAAGTTGCTGATTCCCCAGAGAGGGCACGGTAACAACTTGCCATTTCTTCAGCTCTTTAGGGCCGGCTGCTCACTCAGCTTGCAGCTTGCCCTCCCCTGTGACTGAATTTCTCTCCCTGATTTTTGCAGTGCCCCTTGGCCCTCTGATGATTAAGGAAACACATCTGGAGAGACGGAGTGCTATACACCAGAGATAAGCTAAAGAATTTGGAAGGACAAAACCCAGGCCCCTGACTTTGTGGCCAGAGGGAGGTGCCAACCCATATTCAGTGGCCTGGTTTCAAGGGGGATTTTCCCAGTTTTCACGGTGTTCAAGGCCTGAGGCCACTTCCAATCTATTCTGGGCCCAGAAAATACCCCACCCAAGCTTTGATTCCCTACTCTCCCCTCCCCCCAAAAAAGGACCTTAGGAGAAATGGTCTATAGGACAATGAGATTATACCCATGTGCCCCTTCTCCCATAGGTCATCCTAAATCACTTTATGAAAGGTTGCTCCTCCATAGGCTCTTTGGGAGGGAGTGGTGTATTCAGGTGCCATATGATTTCTTGGGTCAGGACCCAAGCTGGGCCAGGATGCCTGGTGGGCTGAGCGAATGCTTGTTAACCCACCTTCTCTGGCCACTCTCCCGTGAGACCCTTCTGTTAGCTACGCAGTCCTTCTGTCCATCCGCCTGCTCGCTGCCCACCCCACAGAAGCCCCAACCTCAGGGCTCGTCTAACCTCTAGCTCTGAGGAGCCAACCCAGTGGAGGCAAACAACAGGGGCGGGAGTGGATGGGCAGACCTGGGGAGCAGGCGTGGGGGCAGGACACGGACAGAAACCCAGGGCCAAAAGGGCTGGGAGCATGGTGGCAGGATGGAGGAGGGAATGACAGACACACAGAAAGGTGGACAAGCAAACGGGAGAAAGAGGAAGGAAAGACCGTCAAAAATGGTTTTGAGGTGGAGAGAAAGCCTGCAGGAGCACTATTTAGCATGAAGCTAACGTGCAGGGGAAGCAGCCCTGCAACCGACCCTCCAAGGTCATATACTGACACAGAGATGGAGTTTGGCAGTAGAACCAAACAGCTCATTGGGGAAACAGGGGCCTGGGGCCCAGCAGGAGGAGATCAGATGGCAGGGTGTGGGAGGGGCCCCTGTGCTGTTTTTTCAAGGATAACTGGCCGTGGGGGGGACCCCAACCCAAATAGGCCCTTCTCTCTTTCCTCCTTTCAACTCCCTCCCAGCGTAGTGCCCCCACCCCAGTCCCCTAGAAAGCGGGAAGTTAGCAGGTCTTGGCTGGCTCCACAGTGCCCCTATGTGGCCTGCACCGGATCTGCATTCTGGATATAAGAAGAGTTAGGCCTGAGACCGTACTCACTTCTACCTGACTATAGATGAAGTAGGTGCCGTCCACCAGTACCTCCAGCTCCCCGCTGCGGGGATGTAGCTTAAACACCTTGGGGTTCATGGTGATGCGAGACCAGTCATTGAGCACTCCACCTGAAAGATCTCAGTATGAGAGAAGGGCAGTCACTCAGTACATGTCAGAATAATCTGGGCAATAGAAACAAGAGACATCGAGCGGCATCCCCTCCACCCCACCCCTATCCCAGTGTGAAGTGGAGAGCCCCAGAGGCCAAGCTTTAAGAACAGCATTTGGAAGCAGAGAAAGCGTTCTGTTTGTCAAGCAGCTGCCAGGCCTGCCTCAGGCCCCTGGGGTCCAATTGTCTGTCTCCCTCTCTCCTTTCCTGACCCCTCCATCTGGTAGGGTCTTTAACCAACACCTAGCTGGAGTTGGGGGTGAGGGCAAGAAGAGAGTGGGCATGCTGCCCTATTTTCATTGTTGTTCTGGGGCCTGCGCAGGCAAAATTCAGACACTGAGTGGCAGGCTAGGTCTTATTATTCCATTCTATTTCTCTAGCCATAGCTCCTGAATCCCTCCCCTGTGTCTCAGGTTCGTGGGTTTTGTTCTTCTTTCAAGATTCCTTTTTACAGTTCCTTCATGCCCACTCCTTTCTGGAAGGCTTCCCTGCCTCCCCCCTCCCCGGCCCCCGTCCCCCAGGAAACCACTCAGTCCAAGGAATTGTCTATCCAGAGAACGTTAGGGTTCGGGGGTGAGTCAGACTTCACGGCAGCTGGATTGAGTGGTCACCAGTACTAAGGCCCCATAGGAGAGGGGGATCTTTACGAGAGTGAGGGATAGACCACCAAGCAGCCCAGGGGCTGGCGAGGGTGTCTGGGAGCCGAGGCACCTCTGGTAAAGCATCTGTCAGCCCAACCCCATTGGGGGCAGAGGGGGAGTCCTGCCACCTTTGCTGGACAGTGAGAGCCAGTATGTGAAGGTGGAGGAAAAGCTTCCCTTTCAATCCTGCAGAAAGAGGGATGTTCCTTACTACCACTGGAGGAGAGAATCCAAGCCCTGGGGGCCTTCTCCCCTCAAAACCCTCCATGCTCCACCCAAGAAATTATGTTGTGAATGTCCATCTTTGGCTAGTCTCAGGAGGCCTGCCTCTTGGAGGTGTGAGGAAACTGGCCTTCTGGAATAGGTGCTCATCGTCCCTCGAGGTGATAGTGGGTGGGGACAGGAGTTCGGAAGAGATGCCCTGGCTCAGCCCCTCCAAGTGACTGCTCTGTCCCCCTCCCTTCTGTTTTTGGTGCAACTAAAGATCAGCATTGGCCCCGAGGGGTTGGAACCAGTCTTGTTGTGTGGTAGTGGGAGCAAAATCCGTAGCTTCGGGCATAGACTAAGCATGGAGGCCACACGTCCACCCAGACAAGTCTATTTCCTGCCTGTCTCACTGCTCCCTGGACAGAGGGTGATTATGGCCCATCCAGGGCCCCAGGGCCCAAGGCCCCTGGTCCCAGCAGGATGCCTTGGGTTTTTTTCTACTATTCTGTTCCAACTTCTACTTTGGAGGCCATTACATTTCAGGCATCCAGGTGGCAGTCCAGGATGTGGCTAAGCCCAATCATTAGGGCAGCTCAGCACAGCCAGTTCGGGACGGACTGGGCTCTTAGGAGCTGTCCCCATGCATCAGGTTTCTTAAACTTCATCTACTGTTTCTGCACTCGGAGCCCCTCCCTTCTGCTCCACGCTCCGTAAGCGTCTGGCATCTTGGCTGGCTCGCTGCTTCCTGAGGCTCCTGGGGGTTCAGGCGTTTTAGGCTGTGTGCACCCTGGGGACTGGACATTATTTCAAAGTGCTGTTCTTTAATGAATGTTCATGTCTCTTCAGGGAAGAAATTGAACCTAATCTTTCAGTGGAGTGTATGCACATCACTGAAGTAGCCCAGTGCCGTGGAAAGAGACAGACATAGCTTTGAATCCCAGCTCCTGCGCTTAACTGAGCTCTTGGGCCAGTTAATTTAACTTCTCTGAGCTTCAGTTTCTATTTCTTCAAAAAGGAACTAATAGCTACATCATAGGGTTGTTGTGAGGATCACATGAAATGAAAGACAAGGGGTGCTTGGGTGGTTCAGTCGGTTAAGTGTCTGCCTTCGGCTTGGGTCATGATCCCAGGGTCCTGGGATCGAGTCCCGCATCAGGCTCCCTGCTCAGCGGGGAGCCTGCTTCTCCCTCTCTCTCTGCCCCTCCCCCCTGCTCGTGCTCTCTCTCTCTCTCTCTCAAATAAATGAAATCTTTAAAAAAGAAAGACAAAAGAACGCATGTTGAAAACTCCAAAGGACAGTCCAAATATAAGGCAGTATGATTTCTTATGGTATTATCCATTCTCGCTGGGACTCTGGTTCCCCATCTTTTAAATGCAGGGATTACATTAAGTCAGTTTTCTTTTTAAAAAAATTTTTTTATGGCTTCGTCTTGTTTCATTTATTCCACTCTTCCCCCATGATCCTCTGCCTTGTTTCTCAAATTCCACCTATCAGTGAGATCATATAATTGTCTTTCTCTAATTGTTAAGCCAGTTTTCTTAACCCCCTTAAACCTGTTTCCCCTTCTTATAGATATTAGCATCTCATACTCCCTGGAGAGTCTGACATGCATTCCCCCCCCTCCGCCCGCCCCGAAATGCTTCCTCCACCCGCTTATTGTGGAGACCCATCAGACAAGAAATTAATTTTCTGTAGTTTTACCTTCTCTAGCTTGTATTGTGAAAATGTTGATCAAACTACACATATCCCCTTGGTGACGCTGATACAATCTCCACCTGCCAAGAGATCCCTAATTCCATGATGTCTCAAAGTCCTTTTCGGCTTCCTCATCAGTGATTCTACATGCAATTTGTGTGTAGCGGCCGGTCTAGGTGCAAGCAATTACCCAGGACAGCCAGTAGAGGGCAGACTGCGCAGCGAATGGCCCCCTACCGCCCAGGGTACTCCAAGGGGCCCGGGAGGAGCTAGGCTGGTGACTCCATGAAGGCTGCCGCCGCCAAGGAAGATGGAGAAGCTCCTCTTAGGGGAGAGAGCCTACTTTGACTCTTACCATTCTTGACTTGAATTGCTGACCCTTGGCCCTGCAGATGCACCACAGCTGGCTGGGGGGATGAGAAGGACAGAGAGAGTAGTCACTGAGAGAAATGGCTGCCCACTCAGCCACCAGTTACCATGTTCCCACCTCTGACTTCCAGTCCGCTTTCATTTCCCAACTCGGATCCCTTTCTCCTGTCCTGGGATGCCAGCGACCACATCTCTGCAGGTGGCTGATGTGATCTACAGCTCCGCCACTTCCTGGCTACATGACCTCAGCGGAATGCAGTGCCTCAGAGGAGCCTCATTTCCCTGACTGTGAAATGGGGATTTTAAGAATCTCTGTCTGGCCTCTCTTACAGGGATGTTTGAAGATCAAATGAGGCGATGGATGTAAAATTCCCTGCAAGCCATCGAGCACTGTGCAGCTGTGTAGATTTATGACTGTGGCCAAACAGCTGTCGTGAGGGAGGGAGGCTGAGATGAGAGAAGGCAAGGCCGCAGAATTTGCCAATACAGACAGATTAGGAGGCTCCAAGACAGGGAGGAGCCCTTCAGGCCCTGAAGGCAGAAGCCCAGGCTGGGTTTGGCCTGGAGCTGGTTGGCTGATTTTCAAGCTCCTGATCCCAGGCGGTCTGAGTGCCGACAAGGTGTCTGGTGTGGTTGCGAAGTCGGAGGCTCAGGTGGATAGGCCTGACTGGCAGCTCATTTCACAGGACGACTGAGCTTGGGTATGGTGACCTTCTGTCTTCCGTGCGATGGGGAAAAATGGAAAAATGGCCGTGGCAAGACTGAGTTAAAGGCAGGCCCTGAGGCAAAGCTTTTCTATTCCTAGAGATGGGAGTGAGCAACCTCGGGACCTCTAGGGCATCCTCACAAAACAAAGCCCCAGCAAATTTAATCGGGAGCCACTAGAAGGTGGTTCTAGCCTGGTGGCCTTCCCTCCTCCCCAGGAAGAGAGCAATTCCCAACCAACCTGGTTTTCTCGAGGTCCAGCTTTATCAGCAGCACCTGCAAAATCGGACAGGGCAATCAGAGGGCATGCTCCTTCTTCCCTTTCTCTCCTCAGCTAGTCAGCGAGTGGCGGTGAGCCTGGCTCTGGGCAGCCAAGCCCTGGGAGGATGGGAGAGGAAACTACTTCCCTTCTCTGACTCCTCCCTGACCTGCCTCTTCAGTGGGCCCAGCGTCCAGCAGGGACAGTGGCCTCTCACTAACGTGGGCCCCAAGGCGAGCCTCACCGAGCCCCCCGTAGAGATAGCGGAGAGTGTGTTCCTGCCACTATGGGATCCTGAGACAGTGCCGTTTGCTTCTTTAGTCTTTCGCTCCCTTTCTTGCATGGTCTTCATAGACAGCATTGCCATTTGTAAATATCTTGCTTCTTTGATCATCTCTCTCCTCCCCTGGGACACAAACTCCATGAAAACAGGGGCCACTTATCGATATATCTCTTGCACACAGCAAGGGCTCAGGTTCCGTGGAAAGATGGGGATACAAAAAAAAACACCAAACCCATCCTCTAACTCCATCTCTTACGGTCACAGTAATGCTGATTAGCCCAATTTGAACTATGAGTCAAAGGATCTGAGTCCAGCTACAGAATTTTTGGACCTAGAGAAATCAGCTGTGTAAAGAGTCCATTTCCTTGAAGCCCCAAGATCCAAGAAGGGAGCAGGAGGAGGAAATAACAACAGACCTAAGCTCTGGCAGCCTGACTCCTGTCAGTTCCAATCAGGCAGGTTTGGATTGGCATCTGTACCTTTTGGATGCCCGCCTGGACCCAAGAGGAACGATGCAAACAGATTCAGCGCTATGTGAACGTGCAACGTGGTGGCATGAGGCACTTGGCTCCTCAGTCTTAGCGACCGCATTTGCTTCTTCCCCAGCCCCGGTGACTTGTAAGTTTCCAACTCCCTGGTCACCAGCGACCATTTGTCTACCTCTACGGGAAAGGCACTTCAGAGTTCATGGGATGAGACTGTTCTAAGGCTTGTCATTTCTCCCAGTCCCCAACCTTCCTCTCCATAGCCTGTTTCCAATCAGACGTAAACATGCAGTGCTAGATGCTGGAAATCAGTGCAAACCAAATCCATCCCCCACTGGAGATCTAGTGTAAACCCTCTGGGGCCTCTGGCTCTGGCTCTGGCTCATGGGAGTTTACTGGCTCACTACAGAAAGGCCTAGAGTCAGGCAGGTCTTTGTGATGGAAAGGTCAAGAGCAGGTGGCCTGTCCTTGACAGGTTGGTATACACAAGAAGTTAGAGTAGGTCAGGCCCTACTGGCTTGTTCAAGGTCTAGCTCTCCACTGAGCTAGAGACCTGCTTTTCTTAATGCTCACCAAAGCCATGACTGCCATCGGAAACTGCCCTCAGGATCACCCACACCTGCTCTTGTCAAGTACTTGCAAGGAGCCTAGGGGCAGGTGGAGAGACAGAGGAACTCACCGGAAGGTCCCTGTAGGCCAGGGGGTCCCTGAGGACCAGGTGGACCTGGAGGGCCAGGTGGTCCCATCACAGTTGTTCCTGGAATTCCAGGAATTCCTGGAATCCCTGGGGGTCCCTGGGGTCCTGGAGGTCCTGGAGGTCCCGGAGGGCCATTGGGCCCAGGAGGTCCTGCCTTCTTTCCTAAAAGACAAGATTCAGTGTTACATTTGTAGTCATTGACTGATAACAAACATATTGTCAGGAGTTCTCCAGATTTCCAAGGACACGAAGTCAGCCCTTTGAGAATTCTGGCTGTTAAAGAGGTGAACACCTCTATTATACAACACACACACACACACACACACACACACACACACACACACACACACACTCTCCCTATCCCCTTTCATGAATAATTACTTCCAGAGCTGGTTTGAAGATATAGAAATAAATGACCCTCAAGGAGCTCAGTCTACTGGGGAAACAGACACAGTCACAGGAGACTCTAAGTGCCATATGAGTAGTAGGGACAAAATGCTTAAGAGGTCAGAGAAGGTTTCAAAAAGGAGGTTACCTTTCAGCCAAGTCCAAAAGATTAGAATTACCGGACCCGTGGGTCACTTTTTTGAATTGAGCATTGGGCTATCGTTAAAGAGTGTGGCTTTCATGTTTACCGCCCAGTTTGGAGGACTTGATGCAGATAAGAGGGAGCTAGGAGGACAGCCTGACCCTGGGCATAATATCAACACCAGGAAGGTTTCCTATAGAAGTTGGGATGAGGGGCGCCTGGGTGGCTCAGTCGTTGAGTGTCTGCCTTCGGCTCAGGTCATGATCCCGGGGTCCTGGGATCGAGCCCCGCATTGGGCTCCCTGCTCCGCGGGAGGCCTGCTTCTCCCTCTCCCACTCCCCCTGCTTGTGTTCCCTCTCTTGCTGTGTCTCTCTCTGTGTCAAATAAATAAATAAAAATAATTAAAAAAAAAAGAAGTCGGGATGTATAGGAACTAGGGGTTGGTATAGAGGTGGTGGTAGCCGGGAATGAGGAATGGAAGGAATTTGGGAGATGAGAGGTGGGGGGGGGGGGGGGGGGGGGGGGAGGGAGGGAGAGAGATTGAAGGAAAGAAGGGGAGGTGGAGAGTAGAAAAAGCTGAGGAGGCAGTTGGCAGGTTTTTGCTTTCTCGGCTGACCTCTCTAAACCCTATTTTTAAAGATCTCTGGGAAAGGCAATTCTGTAAACTCCCTTGGTAACATGTTCCTGTGTTTAGCACCCCCTCACTGTTAGGAAGATCTTCCGTATATTTAGCTGAAATCCCTCCTGTGGCAATTTAAGCTTCTATTCTATTCTTTGTGAAGCTAGAGAAGAATAGTTACCATCCTACACATAATAACCCTCATATGCTCATAGACATTAAGTCACCTATCCAACCTCCATTTTTATAGGCTGAATAATCCGGCTTCCCAGAATCTTTCCTCTGAGGCCCTATTCTCCAATGTATTATTAATTAGGCCCACCACCTCCTCCCTTTTTTTGCTCACTATCTTTTCAGAACAATCCTGGCCCTTCTACTCCATATTCCAGTCCTTCCAACATTCTCACCAGGATGTAGCTATTTGACTGAGTCATAACTGTGGTCTTGTACCAAAACCCGCAGCTCCTGTTTACTTCCTCTGCTCTGTGCAGCCCAATTCATGCACTGCAGGTGGCCACAGGGAGGGGGGTGTCTTCTTCCCTTCACTACTTTCTCACAATCTTTGGAAATCCCAGGTATAGAAGGCTTCGACCAGACTCCACGACAGTATCTCCACCCGCGCGGTACTGTCTTAGTTTTACATGTAACCCTCTTAAGTCTCACTTAAATACCCCCTTAACAACTCTGACTCCTTGCTCCCCAGCCTCTTAAGCAGGAGAATCCTGACCTATCAGGCCCTCCCTTATAAATAATGCCTCATGTTCCAGAAACTCAATCCCCATGGCAATGCCATTCAAGAGGCCAGTTGTCCATGTCTAACCACATCTGTGTTTGGTATGAAACAGTGGCGTCATTGTGCAGCTCCTGCCCCAGGGATACTCCCTGTAGCCTTAAAGACCTAGAGGCAGGAAGGAACGTTAGCATTTTCCCTGTGCATAGCAGCAGCAAAAGATTGGATCTGCCCAGTTTCTAGATTAGCCAATTTCAAGAGGCTGAACAGGAAAGCCATCTCCCTTCAGATTTGGGCAGCTTCCAAGTCAGGCTTATTCAGTGCCCAAGTTTCAATTCCAGCTAGAGCAGTGGAAAGAACACAAAATCTGTAGTCAGGAGATAAGGCTGTAAGCCCCAGCTCTGCCATGGATGTACTCTGGGCGAATCCCTTTCTCTCCCTGAGCCTTAGTTTCTCTATTGGTGAAATGAGGAGTTCGGCCTTGATGATTTCTGTTTCCTCCCAAGCTTGAGGTTCCATAAGGAAGACTGACTTACCCTTGGCAGTCAGGAAACTTCCCTAGGCTGGTTTGCTTCTCCCTCATCTTCCTCTGTGTCTACTCGCATAGGCACAGAGGAAGGTGCGTATTAGACTGGTCTATGTCCCAGAATTTCCAGGCCTAACTGATTTTGAAGCTAGAGGGTGTTCCGTGGGTAGTACAAACTTCAGTGTCAAGACTGTGACTCTCCTGTGATCGCTAATGTAATTTTGGAAGAATTACAGCCAGAAACTCCTCTAGTCAAAGAGAATAATGGTTGCAGCATAAACAGAGGATGTTCACTTATGAAAATGTTAGAAGGCATTTGGGAAAAAGCTCCTGCTGTGCTCTAGTTCTGCAGCTGGTCCTCTTTGCTCCTCTGTAACTAGGTTTAGGCAAGTGTGCTTCTCACACTTGCATACTTACAGAAACTTGGCCCAGAGAGGAACATGTACAAAATGACCCCTGGACAAGAGGATGACTTTAGAGGATTGAATTCCTTCTCCAGATCTCCTTACTTTAACAGAACACTTCATGATACAAAAGCCCGGAGACTTCTCTACTTAGAAAATTATCTGGTGCAGTCTTAGATGACAGAATGTTCACCTTCTTTTCAAAGCTAAACTTCGTAAAAGGGGCATTTCCCTAACCTTTTAGTGAAGGCCAAACTGTTGAAAGAACAGATAAAAACAAGTGTGAATGAAAGTGAGGGCGGGGGGGAGGGAGAGGGAGGGAGAGAGAGGGAATGAACATGAGCAAGTTAGTTGTAGGAGGGGAAAATTCTATTAAAGATGGAAATTAAATGAACAACTCAATTTACCTCTTCAGGCATGTGCCTATTCACTGTGTCCAATGAAGTCTGTATTAAATGGCTTCTAAATCACTTAGAGTCAAAGTAAATGTTTAAGGCCTATGTGCATCCTCCTTCTAATAATGGCTCATATACCAGGTAGCAGTGCTGGGCAGTGATCCGAGTCCCTGCCAGAGGCATTGGATTCTCTGAATTGTAATCACAGGGCTTCTAGCCTAGACAATTGTCTTCTGTCATCACTAGCAAGTATGTTCTCTCAGTGCTCACTCATTGAATAACACTACAACTGGGTGTCATTCCCTACCACACAGATGACCCACACTTTGGTACATCACTAGTCTACTTGCTGTTCCCCCAAACAGGCCATGTTCTTTCATGCTTCTGAGGGATTTGAGTATGTTGTTCCCTTTGCTGGAATGTCCTTCCCCCTCCTTCCCCCCCCCATCCTTCAAAGCCCAGGTTAAATACTGTGTTTTTTTCTTTTTCCCCTGAGATGTGGTTCCTCATTCCCCCAGGGAGAACTACTTGCTCTTTCTTTGTGCTCCCACAGCATGCTGTTCATGCTTCTATGATAGCATTTTTGATGCCGTACTGTAATGATTTGTGTGCACTTCCATGATTCCAGCTACACTGGGATCATGGAAAAAAAAAGATAAAGAAAAGTGGTGCTTTTCTTTATCTCGGAATCTCTATTCCTAACAGATATAAGATGCTTATTCACTGTCTAGTGACTGAGTGAAAAGAAAAAAAAAAAAAACTAGTTGCTATAATTAGAAAGTGTTCCCAAGTCTACCTATTAAGAAGGGAAGTCACCTGTGGACTTGTTTAGGAGCAGAGGGTGTCCTTGTCAAAGCCAGGTGAGCTTTCTAGGTTTATTATAATTTCCATTTTAAAGGGGATGTGATAAAAGTTAAAAATAACATGCTTGATAGAGTAATCAAAACAGGATGGTACCAGCACAAAAATAGACACACAGATCAATAGAACAGAATAGAAAACCCAGAAATGAATCCACAATTAATCTTTGACAAAGCAGGAAAAAAATATCCAATCAGAAAAAGACAGTCTCTTTAACAAATGGTGTTGGGAAAACTGGACAGCTACCTGCATAAGAATGAAACTGGACCACTTTCTTACACCATACACAAAAACAAATTCAAAATGGATTAAGGACTTAAATGTGAGACCCGAGGGGCGCCTGGGTGGCTCAGATGGTTGAGCGTCTGCCTTCAGCTCAGGTCATGATTCCAGGGTCCTGGGATCGAGCCCCACATCGGGCTCCCGGCTCCGCAGGGAGCCTGCTTCTCTCTCTCCCTCTGTCTCCCCTCCTGCTCATGCTCTCTCTCTCTCTCTGTATCTCTGTGTCTCAAATGAATAAATAAAAATCTTAAAAAAAATGTGAGACCTGAAACCATAAAAATCCTACAAGAGAACACAGGCAGTAACTTCCTTGACATTGGCCATAGCAACATCTCTCTAGATATGTCTCCTGAGGCAAGGGAAACAAAAAATACACTATTGGAACTACTTCATAATAAGAAGCTTCTGCAAAGCAAAGGAAACAATCAATAAAACTAAAAGGCAACCTACAGAATGGGAGAAGATATTTGCAAATGACAAATCTGATAAAGGGTTAGTATCTAAAAATCTATAAAGAACTTTTCAAAGGCAATACCCTCAAAACAAATAGTCCAATTAAAAAATGGGCAGAGGACATGAATAGACCCTTTTCCAAAGAAAACATACAGATGGCCAGCAGACACATGAAAAGATGCTCAACATCACTTATCATCAGGAAATGCAAATCAAAACAATAATGAGATATCACCTCACACCTGTTAGAATGGCTAACATCAACAACACAAGAAACAACAGGTATTGGCAAGAATCTGGAGAAAGGGGAACCCTCTTGCAACCAACCCTGTTGGTGGGAATGCAAACTGGTACAGCCACTCTGGAAAACAGTGTGGAGGTTCCTCAAAAAGTTAAAAATAGAACTGTCCTGCAATCCAGCAGTTGTACTACTAGATATTCACCAAAGGATACAAAAATGCTAATTCAAAGGACTACATGCACCCTGATGTTTATAGCAGCAGTATCTACACTAGCCAAGTTATGGAAATAGGCCACGTGGCCATTGGCTGATGAACTGAGAAATAAGATGTGGCATATATATATATACAATGGAATATTGCTCAGCCATAAAAATGCATCCATTGCAATATCATGGATGGAGGTAGAGAGTATTACGCTAAGTGAAATAAGTCAGAGAAAGACAAATACCATATGATTTCACTCATATGTGGAATTTAAGGGAAAAAAAGTGAACAAATGGGAAGAGAGAGAGAAACCAAGACACAGACTCTTAACTATAGTCAACGAACTGATGGTTACCAGAGGGGAGGAGATGGGAGGATGGGTGAAATAGGTGATGGGGATTAAGGAGTGTACTTGTCATGATGAGCACTGGGTGATGTGTGGAATTATTGAAGCACTATATTGTACACCTGAAACTAATATAACACTGTATGTTAACTGGAATTAAAATACAAACTTAAAAAAAAGAAATGATCTATCAAGCCATGAAAAGACATGGAGGAACTTAAATGCGTATCACTCGGTGAGAGAAGCCAATCTCAAAGGCTACATACTGACATTTGGGAAAAGGCAAAGCTAAAAAGATAATAGAAAGATCAGTGGTGGGGGACATCTGGGTGGCTCAGCTGGTTAACTGGCTGCCTTCGGCTCAGGTCATGATCCTAAGGTCCTGGGACTGAGTCCTGCCTCTGGCTCCTTGCTCAGTGAGGAGCTTGCTTCTCCCTCTGCTTGCCACTCCCCCTGCTTGTGCTCTCTCTCCTTTCTCTCTCTGATGAGTAAATAAATAAAATCTTAAAAAAAAAAAAGAAAGATCAATGGTAGGATGCCTGGGTGGCTCAGTTGGTTAAGCATCTGTCTTCAGCTCAGGTCAAGATCCCAGGGTCCTGGGATTGAGTCCCACATCAGGCTCCTTGCTCAGTGAGGAACTTGCTTCTCCCTCTGCTTGCCACTCCCCCTGCTTGTGCTCTCTCTCCTTTCTCTCTCTGATGAATAAATAAATAAAATCTTTTTTTTTTTTTTAAAGAAAGATCAGTGGTGGGATGCCTGGGTGGCTCAGTCAGTTAAGTGTCTGTCTTCAGCTCAGGTCAAGATCCCAGGGTCCTGGAATGGAGTCCCGCATCGGGCTCCTTGCTCAGTTGAGGAGACTACTTCTCCTTCTGCTTGCCATTCACCCTGCTTGTGCTCTCTTTCTCTCTCTGACAAATAAATAAAGTCTTAAAAAAGAGAAAGATCAGTGGTTGCCAGGGGCTAGGGGGAGACAATGAGGAATAAGCAAAGTAGAGATGGTTTTTAGGGCAGTGAAACTATTTCACAAATACTGTAATCTATGGGAATCTATGTCACTATGCATTTGTCAAAACCCATAGACTGTACAGCACCAAGATGAAGCCTAATGTTAACTATGTACTTTGAGTGATAATGATATATCAATGGAGGTTCATCAGTTGTAACAAATGTACTACTCTGGTGCGAGATGTTGATGGTGGGGGAGGCTGTCCATGTGTGGGGCAGGGAATATATGGGAACACTCTGTACTTTCCCCTCAATTTTGTTGTGAACCTAAAACTGCTCTAAAAAACAAACTATTAGGGGCGCCTGGGTGGCTCAGTCGTTAAGCGTCTGCCCTTGGCTCAGGTCGTGGTCCCGGGGTCCTGGGATCGAGCCCCGCATCGGGCTCCCTGCTCGGCGGGAAGCCTGCTTCTCCCTCTCCCACTCCCCCTGCTTGTGTTCCCTCTCTCGCTGTGTCTCCCTCTGTCAAATAAATAAATAAAATCTTAAAAAAATAAAAAACAAACTATTAGAAAAAAACCGACATGCTTAAAAATCAAATTTACTTTCTTAAATACATAATATTTTGGTGAATGCCCAGGCCCAGTGGAGAAAGTTTTCCTCATTGACCCCAGCTTTCTGGCTGTTTTCCAACTTTGCTCAGATCAGGTCCTCAGGAGGCCAGGCCATTCCTCAGCTTCTTTACAACAGGGACATAAGTTTTCCATGTGGGCCATGGTACTGCAAGTCACCAGACTACCCTAGTGCTCAGAGAAGTGGCAGGCCACAGCTGAAGCCAGTCTCTTTGGTCTACTCTGCGATTGATAATCTATTGTATAAAGCTCCAGAAATCTTAACAGAGTCATTTTACTTAAAGCATTTTATTTTTTAAAAGATTTTCTTTACTTATTTGAGAGAGAGAGAGAGAGAGAGAGAGAGAGAGAGCGAGAGCAGGAGCATGGGGGAGGGGCAGAGGGAGAGGGAGAAGCAGACTCCCCGCTGATCAGGGAGCCTGACCCAGGGCTCGATCCCAGGACCTGAGATCCTGACCTGAGCTGAAGGCAGATGCTTAACTGACTGAGCCACCCAGGTACCCCTACTTAAAGCATTCAAATGAAAAATCATTATTTTCACTTTATTTTCTTCACACGTCAGAGCACAGAAACAAATAGTTACTTAAAACTGGTTTTGTAGTTGGCTTCTTTTTTAGTCCTAAGGAGTGGACCATATTGCCTAATTCTGTCTTTTGGAACTTGTTCTGGTTTTGGGTTCTCCTCTTCAACTATGCAAGTGCTTGTACAAGTTCTTGGGCCACTCCTGTTGCAAGTATATCAGAAACATAATGACCCAACAATGGCACAATGGATCTGCTCAACCAGAAGCTTCTTTGAAAGGACCGAAAGATCAGGGTATTCCTTCAGCTTTCTTTTTCCATCACAGAGAAAATGATATTGAAACCACAAAGTAAGAAATACCCTCCCTGGCTAAGGCATAGGATAGGGATAGCTTTAAGGCCAAGAATAGGGTACTGACGTTTCTCAGGAGGTAGTATACCTCGTCCCCACAAGTATAATTAAGTCAGGACTTAATTTATACATGATCAGTGATTTGATAAAGGAGGGCAAAGAAAGGAAGAAGGAGAAGGACAGGGGAAAGAGTAAGGAAGGATGAAGGAAAGAGATGTAAATTTAATTGTACAAAAGAGGGAGGAAGAAAGAAAAATAAAAACAACTTTCATATGCAGCTAGAGAAGCACTTTCATGGCTCATCACTGAAAAACAAATCTCTATTTCTTGTCTCATGGAAGCTACCATACTCAAGGTCACAGGCGATTGAATAAAACAATGGACAACCAACACTGAAAGAATATATAAATATCCTACTCCCTTGGTTTTTCTTTCCTTCTAATTTTAGAAAAGACATGAGAACAATTTTATAAAATCAGGAGCTTAACTCACCCTTTTTCTTGTTTTTAACTGGACCTGTTAAAAAAGAAAAAGGAAAATTAAGTCATTGGAAATTAACAGAAAGTGTTTATTCTCCAAGACAGTCATAGGAGAAACTCCCAAGACACTGCAGATTTTGAGGGAGGCCCACACCAAGGGTCAGGTCATTGGCAAGGTATCTCCCAACTATCAGACCTCTCCAGTCTGTTTCTATTTTTTGAGTGTTGTAACAAGAACGTCACAAGAAGGATTCTTCCTTAGAAAACCCTTTCAGTCTCAGTCTTTGCAGTGAGGGAATGGTTACTTCTTCATAGAGATGAAAGGCCCATAAACGCAGAACTCAACAACCTTAGGACGGCATTCCATTAATTCTGCGAGTCCTGAGATTGAAGAGTCATGCATTCAGGTGAAGAACCGATATGAAGTCTCCTGCATTGAAGCTGAATGGAAAAGAGGGTCATTTTCATGGAAGGAGCAGAAGTAGCAGCAGGTGACTTTTTAGTCACTTACTGTGATTTAAATTGTTAGTTATTAAAACAGTGTGATCATAATACATTCATGTGGGTACCACATGCACTCCCATTGTAATAGACTATAAGTTAACAGACACTTTTAAAAGAAGTGCCAACAGTTTCACTGACAATGAAATCACAGGCATTTTCTTGGAAATTCCTTCTAAAGAAAACAATTCTAATCGATTGAGGACACTCAGAAAACCCAAGGCTTTTGTTACATGGTTAGGTAACAACCACTCCCCCCCCCACACACACTTTAGGTTTTCCCCCTCCTGGAGACCCAATTCTCTTCATTCTGTAGGTGGATTTGATTTTCTTTAGATACAGGTGTTTAAAATCTGTTCCAAACTCCCATGAAGACACTCTTGGACATTAAACCGTTGTCCGTGTCCTCAGGAACTTAAGAACACCAAGCATTGTATATTGTTTTATAACCCATAAGACCTACTTATTTCCATTTATCATCTTGTTTTATCCTTACAACAAGCCTAGAATGATCTTTACCTATAAGAGCAGGCTCTATCTGAAGTCAACAGTCTCTCACCTGGAGGACTGCCGGTGTGGCCGTCAGAGCTTGCATAGGTCCCTTGAAAACGAATGTCTGCATAGACTTCCCTTGCAAAATAATTTTATTTTCATAATTTCCCTGCTAAATTTCACGGGTAACAGTAGGTATTATTATGGGCATGGGATGTTTTAGGTTGGGTTCAGCAACCTGCCGCACTTAAGGTCATAAGACCCCACTCTTTTATCCTCGTTTTCCATCCTTTTTCTTCCTCTCAGTCCTTTGTCTTCTTCCTTTGCTGCTTATCCTTTATGTTTTTAATGGCATTGAGAGTTCTTGATAACGTGCATGGAGGTTCTGGCAAGGAAACACAGCTGCACAAATACTACAAAGAGGGAGCAACTCAACATGAGAAGGGCCACCTCTTTGACCAAAAAAAAAAAAAAAAAAAAAAAAAGCTATTTGAGGAAGGGTTTACCCAGAAAGGCCCAGGCCCATCAGCCAGCTACCGGCCAGCGAGTCAGCCACCTCTGCCTGGCAGAGCAGTGGGGTGGTAGACAGTGCGGCAAGTTGTGCTAGCCCTCGGTAAGTTTCTGATCGTTTCCGCTGCCTAAAGGGTTAGCACTGTTACAGCACACTTCAAAGCAGGTTTTGAGGAAATCAGACCATCACAAGCAACCAGTCTTCACCAAACATGTCTATGGAAGGCAGCAAGGTAAATAATGAAACACAACTCTATCCTAAAAGAACTTGCAGTTGGATACAAAAATATGCAAGAGGGGAGATAGGAATTATAGGAATTATATTGGCTATTTGAGAAAAAGCAAACAAACCCAAACTTCCTGGAGAAAGCTTGACTTAAATCAACAACTGAAAAGAGGGAAAGGTAAGTTAAATTTTTTTTAACTTCTATTGTGTTTATACCAGGAACCAACTCATTGTACATATATTAATGCATACATACATACATAAAAAGGGGAAGCAAAAAGGAAAAATTTAATTTTTTAAACAAAACTATTTTTATTTCATTCTTTTCTTTCAGTAATTCTTATTTTTAATTGAAGTGTAGTTGACACACAATGTTACATTAGTTTCAGGTGTATAACATAGTGATTCAACAACTCTATATTATGTCTATATTATGTGTACACCACAAGTGTAGTTACCATCTGTCTCCATACAATGCTATTACAATGACATTGACTATATTCCCCATGCTGTATCTTTTACCCCCATGACTTATTCATTTCATAAAGGAAGCCTGTATCTCCCACTCCCCCTCACCCAGACTGCCCATACTGCCCATCTCCCTACCCCTTTCCCCTCTGGGAACTCTCACCTTGTTTTCTGTATTTATAGCTCTGATTCAGCTTTTTATTTGTTTGTTTATTCATTTGTTTTACTTTTAAGATTCCACATGTAAGTGAAATCATATGGTATTTATCTTTCTTTGTCTGACTTATTTCACTTAGCATTTATAATTTCTAGGTCCATCAATGTTGTCATAAATTGCAGGATCTCATTTTTTTCCTGGCTGAGTAATAATATTCCATTGTGTGTGTGTATGTATTTATATATATATGTATATATATATCTATATCTATCTATCTATATATCTTCTTTACCCAATATTATCTATTGATGGACACTTGGGCTGCTTCCATATCTTGGCTACTATAAATAATGCTGCAATAAACATAGGAGTTTTTGAATTTGTCTGTTCATTTACTTTGGGTAAATACCCAGTAATAGAATTACTGGATTATATGTTATTTCTATTTTTAATTTTCCGAGGAAACTCTTTACTGTTTTCCATAGTGGCTGCATCAATTTACATTCCCACCGACAGAGTACAGGTCGGTCTCTCACCTCTTTCCCAACACCATTTGTTGAAGAGACTTTCCTTGCAGCTTAAATTTTTTTTTCTTTGTCACATTTTGCCATTTTAATTATAATATGTCTTGGGTAGATCTGCTTTTGTTGATTTTGTCGGGGTTCTCTGCGCCTCCTAGATCTGGATATCTGTTTACTTCCCCAGATTAGGGAAGTTTTCAGCTATTATCTCTTTAAATATATTTTCTGCCCTCCTTTCTCTCTCTTCTTCTGGGACTCCTATGATGCAAATGTTATTATGTTTGGTGGAGTCACTGAGTTCCTCAAGTCTATTCTTGTAATTCATAAGTTTCTTTTTCAGCTTGATTACTTTCCATTACCCTGTCTTCTAGGTCATTAGTTCATTCCTCTGCTTCTTCCAGCCTGCTGTTCATTCCATCAAGTGTGCTTCTCATTTTGTTTATTGAGCCCTTTATCTCTGCTATGTTATCCCTTATCTCTGTGTTAAGAGTCTAACTCATGTCTTTCACTCTTTTCTCAAGTCCAGAGAGTATCCTTATGTTCATTGCTTTAAATTCTCTATCAGGCATGTTACTTATATCTGTTTCACTTAGATCTCTGGCCATGGCCTTGTCCTGTTCTTTCATTTGGGACAAATTCCTCTCTTCTCATTTTGTCTAAGTCTCTGTGCCTGCTTCTCTGTGTTAGGAAAGTCAGCTACTTTTCCTGTTGTTGACAGTAATGGCCTTATTAAGAAGAGGACTTGTACCCTGCAGTGTAGTGTCTCCTGTTTCCCAGGGCTTGTCACTACAGGGAGTGTCTCCAATATGTGCTTTGTGTGCTCAGCAGTTGTGCCTTGGCTGCTTTACCCTTCAGGGCAGTCATCTGCAGAGGATGTCCTTGCCTGTTGTGGGCAATGTTTGGTCCCTGGCCTGAATGTGGTGGGTCTTAACTAGGTAGGCTTGGTCTACTTGTGAAATGAGACCTGTCACTATTGCTGCTGGAACTGAGGTCCTGCAAAACTCCTGGGTCAGGAGACATGGTGTGGGCAGGGGTTTGGGCTGGTCTATCTGGGGGCAGGGGCCCTCCATGCTGGGACTGAGGCAAGCGTGACTAAGAAGGGTGTTCCACCAGAGCATGAGGGTTGGGTCTTGGTTTTAGCAACTTAGGTAGTGAGTGCCCATTCTGCCCTGGTTCCTGCAGGCAGGTCTGTGTTTATGCTGAGGGGTGTGGGATGGAAATGGTGCCTGCCAGTTCCTTTGTTCCTGGAGGGGTATCTCTATTAATGCTACCTTTCTGGGACATGATCTGAGATGAGCAAATAACCTCCCCACTGTTTGCCCTAGGTATTTTTCAGATTACTGTCTCCACACTGTATGTCTGCAGGCTGTTTGCTCTGCCTTCTCTCCAAAAGCAACTCTAATGCCTCTGGGCTTTCCCTGAGCAAGCCCAATGACCTTTAGAACTCCAGGCTTTAAGCCCCACCGGTTGCAAGAACTCACAAAATTTGGCCCCTCTCACTTTCCAAGCCAATTGTTATGGGGATTCATTTTCTCCTTGCATTCCCCTGTATGTTAGTTTGTCCCTTGCCATTCTTCACAACTGTGACTCCCTCCCCACTGCAGCAGCCATGATCTGTTTCTCTCCCAAACCATGTCTCTGCACTTCCTACCTTCTTCAGTGTGGCCTCTTCTCTACCTTTAGTTGTGGAGTTTGTTCTTTCAGTCTTCAGGTTGATTTCTGGGGTATTTAGGATTTGATAGTTATCTAGCTGTATTCACAGGATGAAGTGAACCTAGGGTCATCCTACTCTGCTGCCATCTTCTTGGACTCCAAGTTGTAGATATTAATTCCTTATCGGATATATAATTTGCAAGTATCTTCACTAGGTTGCCTTTTTAAAATTTTATTTGCTATGCAAAAGTTTTTTATTTTCATGTAGTCATTTACTTTTGCTTTTGTTTCCCTTGCCTGAGGAGACATAGCCATAAATATGTTGCTAAGGCTGATGTCCAAAAATGCACTGCTTACATTTTCCTTTAGGAGTTCTATGGTTTCCAGCTTCACATTTAGGTCTTTAATCCATTTTGAGTTTGTTTTTTTGTGTGGTGTAAGAAAGAGGTCCAGTTTCATTCTTTTGCATGCAGCTATCTAGTTTTTCCAACATCATTGATTGAA